GGCGGCTCTAGCCCGCTGGGGCGGGGTTGGCTGTTGGCTGGCGGCTCGCAGCGGGGAGGACCCTGGCGTGACCTCAGCCACACAGGTACGGGGGCGCCAGCCGCGCGGAGTCGGGGCAGCCCCGGGGTCAGGTTGGAGGTGGCTTCCCTCAGAGCCCCCTTTGTCTTAGTGGCAGGCTCAGGGCTCTCCTGGCCCATGCGCAGCGTATGCAGCGGCCAAGGGCGCCTGAAATGTTGGGGCACCCCCTGGTCTTTAATGTCCACCCGTCTGCCTCTTCCTAGTGTCCCTAGTCTGTGGCTCTGCTTTCTCCCAGAGGATAAACAGCCTGCCAGATTAGCAGAACAGGGAACCTGTGAAAGAGTCCTTCAGGTGGTAATGAAGCCATTTCATTGGCGTGTGCCAACCCCTGCTAGATAACGTCAGTTTCTGGATTGATTGTAAAGAAAGAGTAGTCCAGTAGCACCTTAGAGACTAACAAATATATAGTACCATGAGCTTTCCTGGGCAAAACCCACTGCCTCAGAGGAGCGGAGTGAGTTAATCTACAGGACTTTCGTTTAAAATTTGCTTTACAACTATTTCAGTAGTGTATTGCTGAAGATTTATAAAATCCCATCTCTAAAATATCATCTTATTTAAGAATGATTAAAGGTTTAGAGAACATGACCTATGAAGCCAGGCTTCACGAACTGGGCTTGTTTAGTTTGGAAAAAAGAAGATTAAGGGGGGACATGATAGCGGCTTTCAAATATCTAAAAGGGTGTCACAAGGAGGAAGGAGAAAATGTGTTCCTCTTGGTTTCTGAGGACAGGACAAGGAGTAATGGGCTTAAAGTGCAGCAGGGGAGGTTTAGATTGGACATTAGGAAAAAATTCCTAACTGTCAGGGTGGTCAAATATTGGAATAAATTGCCAAGGGAGGTGGTGGAATCTCCCTCTCTGGAGATATTTAAGAACAGGTTAGATAGACATCTGTCAGGGATGGTGTAGACGGAGCTTGGTCCTGCCTTGAGGGCGGAGGGGCTGGACTTGATGCCCTCTTGAGGTCCCATCCAGTCCTATTATTCTATGATTCTATCTCCCCCCTCCCAGCTGCCATTGGACATAGGGGCACCCCTTTAATAGTAATGGGGAGGCCCCCTTACATCCTAAGGACATGTTTGGTTAAGCATGGAAAGAAATTGCTCCCTACTACAGTAGTTTTCTCCTATAGGAATGGTTTAGTTATGAGCTTTACTCTGCTGTCTTAATGTCATGCTGGCTTGTTTTGAGCATGTGCTGCTGCATTTGGAAATCAAAGCACAGACACTCTGTCCTTGCTGCCAAGGTAGATAGACTGAATGCTATGTACTTTTTTGGCTGTGGATCCTTCAAATGAAACAGAAATGAGGCTCTTTGTGGGTTTTAAAGGACACTTGAGACTTCTTGCAAGGTTGAAGTACTCACAGCACCTTTAGACACCATTTCCCATGTTGGGCAGGATGTTACTTGTCTGTCCTCTCACACTAGAGGTGACTTAATTACAGTGGCTATTACATAAGGTAAGATTCTACTGTTTACCTAATTGTAAAATTGAAATAATACCAGTATCATAATCTGGATCAAACAATAAAATCAACTGAGATAAAAAACAAAGCAATTGGAAATATACACCTCCCTGGTACTTAAAATGTATTTTATTAATTTAAATACTTTCTAAACAATGATTTTAAGCACTTCAGAATGCAGGGTCCTGGCCAGCATTCCCTCTAATTTTTTCCATCAATGTGCAGAATAAATGTTGTGATGTGCACTTAGGCATGTGGAGATATATACCACTGTGTGCTAGCCCAAGTGCTCAAGAAACACAGATCCTGCAATAAGCCACCAGTGTTCACCCGTATCTATATAGAGAACAGTACATTAAAATGTATAATTGGAAATTTTTGTTTCATACTGGGTGCCCCACCAGAAAGGCCTGTCTGGCTTGTACTCCACAACAATTCGCCCATTTTAAAACTTTTATTTCTAGACAACTGCTTTCTCAGTTTGATATAAGCTCATAGACGCCAACAGCCACCCCAAGCCCTTAGACAATATGTGCAGGGGGTCTGGCTTCCCGCTCTCAGAAGCAGCAGGACCTCAGGCAAAAGGGGCGGTGCTGAGGCAGCCATTCCCTGGACCGTGGGGTGCCCCTCGTAGGCCCTCAGAGCAGGCTGGAGCACGAAGCACAGGGATCTGGAGCATGTGGTGCAGAGCTCCAATGGCAATCGTAAAGGGCCTGGGGCTCTAGCCAAATCCAAATAATCAATCTTCAGTTAAAAATAAATACTTGGTATTCTGGGGCATTCATAAAAATAAGCACCATTTGATATCATAGAAGCATAGAATACTAGGACTGAAAGGGACCTCGAGAGGTCATCGAGTCCAGTCCCCTGCCCTCATGGCAGGACCAAATACTGTCTAGACCATCCCGGATAGACATTTATCTAACCTACTCTTAAATATCTCCAGAGATGGGGATTCCACAACCTCCCTGGGCAATTTATTCCAGTGTTTAACTACCCTGACAGTTAGGAACTTTTTCCTAATGTCCAACCTAAACCTCCCTTGCTGCAGTTTATGCCCATTGCTTCTTGTTCTATCCTCAGAGGCCAAGATGAACAAGTTTTCTCCCTCCTCCTTATGACACCCTTTTAGATACCTGAAAACGGCTATCATGTGCCCCCTCAGTCTTCTCTTGACATGCACTACATCAGCACGTTCTCTTGCAAGTTTTTCAGGCAC